TACCAGTAATCAACACAACATCATCTTTGAGGTCCTTGTAAACGGGGAAGAACCACCACCGTATATTGTTTAGAATTTCCGTTAGAAAGCATAGAAAAATGCAAAGTAGTTCGGATGTAAATGAGGAGACTTCAGAAAACCAATCCATTGTGAAGTTGGGATCTATGGGTGGAATGAAAATCAGTGGCGATGATAAGTAACAAAATTCACGGCGACTGGAGCGATCGTGGCGGGGGTTCTTTTGAAAAATGGTGCTACATTCATCAAAGTTCATTCCAATAGAATGGACTCAGTATTCTAGATGGTTTAGAATAAAAGAGTCAGTTCTCGGACTTGCATCACCGTCTTTAAAAAGAGCCAGGGGGAACTCATCTGGGCTGGGCGATTTGTGGGAAGGTTGGGGCTTATGGTCAACTTTGACCCTCATTTTCTGTCAACAGTGGGGTATGATAGGTTTGACCTACCTCTCCGTTTTTCTTCAACTTCGCCATAGGCGTTCTACACAACGCGTTGCATAACGTAACGAACGCTGGTGTCCAGCTTTTTCTTGGAGACAGAGTAGTAGATATCGCCATACTGGGTGACAACGCACCGACGATTCAAGATTCACTGAATCGTTTGGTAATTGAGGTCACTCGTTATAGTATGTCCTTAAAAGTGCAGTCTTGTTGCAAGATTGGCAGGAACTCGTTCCTGCATTTTCGTTGATTGGTGACACCCTGGGAGTAGTCGAAAGCTTTGTCTGCCTAGGGAGTTACATAATGGCATAACGCGTGATCAAAGCCAGATTAGCGTTTGCTAATCTGCGGTGTCTCTGGGGTCGGCGCGAGGTATCCCTTTCACTGAAAAGGCGTGTGTATTGCGCAACGGTACGAGCCATCTTGTTCTATGGCTGCGATAACTGGCCTCTCCGATCAAATTATGTTCATGCCCGCCACACAGTGTACGATTCGCAGAGATCGGTCCAGGCCAGAACAAAAAGTGAGGTGGGCAAGCTATGACGTGGCACATGAGGTTAAAGAGATGATGTTCGGATTTGGCTTCTGTTGGGTCTTCCCAGCTCCTTGGCTGTGGCCCCAAGGATACAGATTATCTTTGGCTGGAGACACTGTAAGAAATGGCATCTAACCGAAGTCAGTGGTGTGAATGCATCTTATCTGTGTGCGACCCCAAAAATAAACAAAAGCAAACTCAAATGGGTGTGCAGTAAACATATTTTGCGCTAAAGCCATGGTCCATCACGACGAGACTGCACCTTGACGTGGTGTGATGACTTTGCACCTCTCTGGCCCAACGAGCTACACAGAATGGCTTTTTTCAAGCCGAAGATCTAATCATACCTGGAATGTCGAGGGCTAGAGGTCAGACGAATTCTTCTCCGGGTCCTCCAGGTTGGGGGTTCGACTAGAATTTGTTTCAGTCGGGAAAAATTGGTGGAGGAGCAACTGATTCAAGTAAATGATCCTCTACTTCGCTTCATGTGCTGCCTTGCAGCTAGGTTCTTGTCAGAACTAAAGGCTTTGGTTGAGAACCCTAATCGTTTTCCCGCTTAGTGGCTGGAAACCCTAGCAGTACCTTTCCATCAAACCCCAGTGCATACGCATTGCGAGTTTGGTAGCGATCAGTGAAGTTCACTTATCTGTGTTTCGCTGTACGATGATGATGATGATGATACACCCATGGTTATTTTGGCGCCGTATCCGTAAAGATTATTATACATATAATGTGTGTGACGATGTCATCGATAGTGGGTATATGGTTTCACTGGAGCATGGATTTTGTGACCGGTGGCTCGGATTAGTAGAAAAATCTTGTGAACATTACCGGAGGTGTATTGTGCCCATCAGATCTCTCGATCCTCCTTTAGGAACGGTTTCTGTTCATCGCTGAGAATCCTACGAACTGGATCGCATTCATTACCTGGGAGATGCTTCGACGAGTGTCAAGCAGTTCAAAAGAACGTGCGGAAACCCAGAGGTTGACGAGGCGAAACCACTAGCTATCAACCTTCGAGGATGACAGACTGTCTAGGTCAGCAGATAACGTGTTTTGGTAGACAGTAACTACGTTAGGGTCGATCAGTTTCGTTGGATCGAGTCTTCTCGAATGACTGCTGTTTTCGACCGAAGCGCAGAAAACTTTGCGTACACGAGTGCATAATCGGAACTGTGGCCGGCGCCCCAGATGAGTTCGCAGTCCGCTAGGCATTCTGTCCAACGACAGCTGATGGCAACATGATCTATTTGGGTGTAAAGCTAATTACACGACGAAGGTCACCAGGTGGCACTTTGGTGCTATGGTAGATGAAAATTGATGCTTGAAAGGAAAAGACCATGAGCAGCGCAGAATCACTGGAGACAGGACACAAAACTTGCGGCG